GGGGAATTCTGGGAGTTGAAGTCCACTCATCTTAAAGTGGCCACGTTTGGACAACACTGCACTAAGCACATGAAAGGAAGCCAAGGCAGCGCCGCACAAGGAACAAAGCATTGGGAAAAAAAGTTCCAAAGCAAGAAACCGTGGCCATCAAACTGAGGCATGTCCCTGAACACAAAAGACAAGAATGCCTGTTTTTGCCAGGAGGGCTATGTGAATAAAATGATCTGGGCAATGGAACTGCCGGAAGAACTCAATGTGGGGGAAAGGAGCGTGTGGCAAGAAGCGTCTGAGAGTCTGTTGCTGAAGCAGAGTAATGGCATACCAAGCAGTTCTGTGGGTGTTGGACGCAGCCTGAACTACTGTAGTTCCTTCTAAGCTGCCATTGCATTTGAGCTTTCATAGCCTCTGGAAAATATGCTTGCCCTAACTCTTCCTACTCTTGCTTAACCTTTTCTTTTCTCCCCTACTTTGCTGCTTATTTGCTTATCAGAGGAAGAAGGAATGCCCGAACAAGAAATCAGGTACTGACTGGAGGCCCCCTATCTAGAACAATATGGGTGCATTTAGAATAAGAGGTTGCTTTAGTTCAAGGGATGTGTTTCAAGGGACCCCCTTCTTTGAAAGGGAAAGAAGAATGAGTACAAAAGCCAACCTTCATGAAAGGATAACGTTTCCAAACACGTGCATCCACGTGCGCCAATATGCAAGGTTCAGCATAGCACTTCAAAACTGGCTTTGCGAAAGTTAGAAGATTTAGTGTGTGATGCATAAGTTTTAGTGTAGCTTAGCCAAGGTCTGGCCGGGCTCATAGCTATGGTCCAGATGCATCAATCTGATAATCAAGATTCAGCTTCTCAGGAACACTGCCAAATTGTCTTTCTTACAGTGGACAGTATAAAGGATGTGCAAAGCACTGTTTGAAAGCTTACATATTTTAATTTCTTGCTAACTCAGTGACTAAACTAACAGAGCTCATTTTTCAACCTGGTTGTGCAATTTTGCTTGAGTGTGCTTCATCAAACCACTGGGCTCATCAGATCAATATACTCAAATCAATATATTCATTCTTTAAAAAATGCTATTTCTTTTCCAAGGATTCTGGACAGGCAATTCCACTTGTGGTTGAAAGTTGCATTCGCTATATTAATTTATATGGTAAGTTGAATTGCTTCCCTCCGCACTGGCTTCAATGTTTTCTTTCAAAGTTCTAGCACAAGGACGTGTCTCCGCTGAAATGCAAAATGATATGTCAGTTTATTTGACTAATTATATGGGACCCAACCATTGTTATACTTAATTAACAAATGTTTGCTTTAACAGCAAAACAAAATACTTTCTGAATGATAAATATTTGGATATGGAATTGTACTCATTGACTAAATTATTTCCCTGGACACTTTTGAATGAGATCCAGTGAATATTCCCTCTCCTCCACTGCTGGTGCCTGAAAATTTTTCATCTGTTCTAGTGTGAGCTAGGCATTAGAAGGCTTTAGGCCATATTCAGCTTACCTAAGTTTCTTGTCTGTCACAATAAATCCTCTTCTCCCTCACCTCATGTACTGCGCTGAAGCTGTGATAGAACAGGCAGGGTTATAGTCAACTGTTTCTTTCCATGCAAGAATTAGCAGGGATCATTCTGTGTTCTTGGTTTGGCAAGGCAAGAAAATTCTAAATCAGGTTTGACTGCCTAAGCTTTCCCTACCATCTGGGTTTACCTTATCTGCTTGAACATACCAAAATAAATTGCATATATAGGATTACAGAGAATTCAATTATTTATTTATACAGTAGATACATGAGAAAGAAGAGTATATATATAAAAATGGTAAGAGGTGATATATAATTAGATTTGGATCAATTAACTTATTTGTGAAGTAAAAGTTTTTTTCCCCTACTGTTACTGGTATCCTATAAATAAAAGATATGTTTGGAACACCTAAATGAGAGGATAACTAAACTGATTGAAATTTAAAGTGGGAAGTTGGTTCCAAATGCTTAAATAGGCTTTTGAAAATATACCTTTTTTTTCCACTTCAGGTTTACAACAACAGGGTATTTTTAGAGTTCCTGGATCTCAGGTTGAAGTCAATGATATCAAGAACTCATTTGAGAGAGGTACGTAATTGGTTGGTCATTCTTATAAAGTGACTTGCTGTTGTATTGTCGAAGGCTTTCACGGCCGGCATACGATGGCTGGTGTGGGTCTTCCGGGCTGTGTGGCCGTGGTCTTGAAGGCTTGTTTTCTAAAGGTTCGCCAGCACCCGTGACCCG